GTTGGGCCAGTTGAGCCTGCTGTTCCGCCTGTTGATTAGCAATAGACTCCAGAGACTGAGTCACCCCGGATAGGACCTGCTGGTGTCGTCCAAGAAGTTGTCCCGTTAAAGCCTTTTGAAAGGCTTCTGGATCCGCCATCTGCATGTTAGCCGAGGTATTATGTGACGATGCAACAGAATTCAGACGCTCGCGGATAAAAAATGTACACAGGGTTTTATTCGAGTTCGACAAAGAAGAGGTCAAAAAACATGTGTGGGTCATAACCAGAAAGCAGCACAATATCACCGAAGTGATCATAACCAAAGCAAACAAAACCAAGGGAGTGATCCAATATCATAGTCAAAAAACCAGGCCAAAAAGTCAAAACACGTATCCAAAAACAGTCAGCAAAGGTACAAGAAGGGACAGGCAAAAATCAAGGTCAGTTAAACAAAACGGAGGTCATAACAGGTAGTCGCAAACAGATAATAGAAACACTCAGCAAGTTCAAGAAGAAACAATACCTCGCAACGACTAAGACTAAAGCCCAGGCTTATAAACTACACTAGGTGGGTCATATGACAATAAACACAGGTGAATGTATTTAGTACTCCGGTGAATGTGAGCACTGATAGGTGCATGTACAACCATCCAAAGTCATATGATCTCCCGAGGGATTGTGGGCAATGGAGTCCCTTCTGGACTCTGCATCAGAGGGAAGTTGCTCAGTCACATGATCTCCTAATGTATTGTGGGAAATGTAGTCCTCCAGAGGCGTGACAGTTGGTAAATAGCTGGAAACCCTGCTGCCAATATTTTGCTGTATTTCTTGAAATGTATGGTATTTAAATACTTTTAATACAACAGAAAGAAACTGTAATACAGAATACAGTATCACTGTAAAATAATATAGTAAGCAGCTAGAAGCCCTGATCCCAGTATTTTACTGTAATTTTACAGGATTTTTATTACAGTGGAATGAAAACTGTCAAATTGTCACTGTTTTTTAGACAAAATCTGCTCTTCATAACAATCAAGATTGTACAAAAATATCAAAAATATTAGCAATTAGCCCATTTCTGCCATCATTTCCAGGTATTTTTGTTTAATGCTTAACAGTAACAAAAGTCCTAAAGAGAGAAGACATCCTGAAATTTACACCTGAATGACGAATGTGCCCACAACAGTAACAACAGTTCAACTGTCCAATCATTATTTGGGCAAATTTATTGTTTATACCAAAGAAGACACTTGAAGTGTGTTGTAAAATATACCCTACTGATTAACATGTAGCTGTTTTGTGCTGATATTTACAGATTGTTTTTTTCATTTAACTATGAGAGAAGACAAAAAGCAAGAGAGCGACTGTGAAGTGAGTCTGTGTGTGACTGTATAAAGTCATTGTTCTCATACTCATCTCATACTGCCCGGGTACCCATAACACTACAGCTGATCCTCTGTCCCATATGTCCAGTGAGGAGGAATAAGCCCCAGAACTACTTCCCCTGAGCATGTTCTGTTAGATTAGATTGGAGATCTACCGAGAGTTATGGAACTAACTAAGCCCTGTTCACTGTCCTCCTGACAAGAAATATGTGCTTGTAGCTTTCAGAGAATGCCTAATTATGCCTATTCCTCTCTGATTTCAGGTCATCCAGGTGAGATATACACCTAGCAGCTGTTGGCTACTCATTATTGGTAGAAGAATATGCTGGCTGATGTTTATAGATTCATTGCACCACTTAACACCTGTTCCTAGAGCAAAACACCCAGAGCTTTACGTGCAGGCAACTCTCACCTCTAATAGTTCCATCATGTGCCAGGTCTCATCAAGCCATGGACTTTATAACTCATCTTGTTGACAGATTCTCTTAGGGAGTCAAATTCATCCCTTTTTCTAATTCACCCACAGCCTACCAAACTGCAGATGTCCTGTTCAACCATGTTATTAGACTTTTAGCATCAGATCACAGTCTTCAATTCCTTGCTCAGGTCTGGATTGACCTTTTTGAACATATAGGGGTCTCTGTTAGTTACACATCTGACTATAACTCTCAGTCCAATGGTCAATGCAAGAGGGTTAATCGAAAACTAGGAATGATTTTAAGGATTTTTTTTTACCATGATAATCAGTCTGATTGGGCACATTTCCTTCCATGGGCAGAAATGTGCCAAAGTTCTTTAATTAGTTCTGCTACATGTTTGACTCAGTTCCAGTGTATTCTGAGCTACCAACCTCCTCTCAAACCCTGGACTGCTATATCACCTGCCTACCATCAATGATTTTGATAAAACGGAGTGAGGAGGATGGAGAGGTAATCATCACTCATAGAGAGACCCCTGTCTATTAACCTGGAGACCAAGTTTGGAAGTCAACCAGGAACTTCAGGTTTGCTGAAGGGGGTGGAAATCTTGCCTAAATAATTCAGACCTCTGTTCCAGATCCATTGGATGAGACCACACCCAATGAGATGCCACCCCAAACATTTGTCATCATGGGGACTCCAGTCTGCAAGTACTTGGTTGACTGGGAAGGCTATGGCCCTGAAACGAGCCCTTGATGTCTTGGATCCTGGCTTGTTGGGGCATTTCAATCTGTGCCATCCAGACAGGCGTGCTCCACATCCAAGAGTTTGCCCCAGACGTCAACCCAGTGGTTGTCCTGAAGATCAACCCAGTGGTCATTCTCGGGGTCATCAGAGGAAAGATTTATCAGTCCAGTGCTGTGGCAGCTTCAGTGGTTTGTCTCAAGGAGTCACTGACAGTTTGGGTGGTGATCACCGTGGTCGTCCACATCCCTTGACCTGCCCACACTCTTTGGCGGCAAGTACTGTCATGCTTCCCATCGTTGTCCACCTTTTAACAATCTTTGCTCTACTTCACTCAGGTGGATAAGTGGCTTAGAGCATGTGTGTGTGTATGTGTCTGTATATATACCTCTTTGTTTCACTCACTCTTTGCTAAGTATCACCCCTGTCTGTAGTGCATACTTTTTTTTCTGTTGCTTGTGTTTGGATTTGCTTTGTTATTCTGAGTTTGTCTTTGGCTTATCCCTTTGGTTGCTGTTTTTTTTTCTTTTTGACTCTCTGTTTGGCTTTTTGACTTGGACCTGTTTTTGACTACTGTTTTACTCAGTCCCATGTATTGTGTATTTGCTCTCCTGGTTTTGACCTAGGCCTGGTCTTGTGTTATGTTTTTGCCAAACCCTCCTGTGATAAAAGCCATCTCAGTTCATCTAGCTTGTGGAGTGTTACAGAGTGCAACCATACAGGGTCTTTGTGTTGTATTTTGAACTTCATGAAAGTGCCACACAATTTCAAAAGGAGACAGGCAAACCACTCTAGCACCCGCACTCTGATTACGCAGCCAGGCTGTTGTAACACTTGCAAAATATTTTTGCCGTTGTCATGTTGAATAAGCATGTAATGGGGGTATTACTAGTTAAGTTGCACCATTAACTCTGAACACATTTGGAGCAACATGTGCTGCTTTTGGATGTCAAATTTCTCAGGGACATCCTGCTTGTTGTCTCATGACAATGGCAAAACATGCTGCAAGTGCTGCAACAGCATGGCTGCAGAATCAGAAAGTATGGCTGCTAGAGTGGTCTGCCTGTCTCCTTTCAAAATTGTGTGGTGCTTTTATGAATTGCAAAACACAACAACAAAAGCCCTGCATGGTGGCACTCTGCATCACTGAACAAACTAGTCAGGTGCTTCTGAATAAAAACAAACGAGACAACTTTAATCACAGTGATATGAAAACAGGCTAAAGTCAAAACCAGGAGAGCAAATACACAATACATGGGGCTGAACATAAGAGAAGTCAAAACAGGTCCAAGTCAACAAGCCAAACAAAGATTCTGAAAACAGCCAACCACAGCTAAAAGAGATAACCCAACCAAGTCAGAATAGCAAAGCCAAAAATACAGGAAAAACAGGAAATTCCAAACACAGGAAAGACAAAAAATGAAAAAAACATCTTGTATACTCTGTAGAATAGAGCAGTACTTTAAAGAATTCAAAGATTGTATAAAATATACAGGTAATAACAAAGAAACAGAAAATGGTTACAGGTGTGAACAGTCAGTATTCTGGTGAACTGGAGCGATGAAGTGGCTTTTGTGATTGGTAGCATTTGTAGGTGTGGGTGTCATGTGAGCCGCCCCCCCCAGGATTCTGGGCTGGGTGAGGGATGAGGACGACCATGATGACCACCACCCAAGCAGCCAGCTTTTAAACAAACCTCAGGAGCTGCCAGGGTACTGGACTAACAGATCTTTCCTAGGACAAGCCTGAGGATGACCACTGGGACAAACTTCAGGGCAACCGCTGGGTTAACATCTGGGATGACTTCTGGGACAGGGAGCAGTCCTGTCTGGATGGTGCTGATGGAAATACACCACCAACCCTGGATCCAGGACATAACTGGCTGGAACCCAGCTCTTATTCTTAGCCTTTACAGTCAACCAGGTGCTGAAGAACCCCTCTCCCTCTGGAGTCCAGCAGTCAATCGACAATGCAGGCTGGAGTCCCCTTAACAACAAGCAGGGGGTGTGGCATCTCATCAGGCATGGCCTCATCCAAAGGAATAACAGGATTGAGGAGGGAAATGTGGAATGAAAATGAAACATGACACTGACTGGGCAATATTAGTTAATTATATGGTTAATCATCTGTTTAATCATATCTTAATAATTCATTTGTGTTCAGTTTTACCTTTTAATAACCCATCATTTGTTAGAATGTATTTTTCTTTCATTTTCTTTTATTGTTGTCATTTATTCTCATGAATATGTATAATCAGTGTTTAATGATTTTTGTGGAATTTGTACGTGTGCTACACACACACTCAGAAATACACACACACAGAAATACACACACACACACATCTTTCACAAACAGAAAATGCAGAAGTAGATTGCAGAAGTTCAACCAACAATATCAGTCTAAGGATCAGGTCTACGTGCCTACTGGCTATTCTCTACTGAGGATCAACAGTGTTGCACCAATTATTGACCAAATTTGGACCAAATATGGAATATTTGAAGCAAGTAAGTTGAACCAACAAATTCAGGAGCCAGTCACATGTGTTCCATGGAAACACCCCATGGATACATTACTGGAGATTGGGAGATTGCTGAGGTCAGCAGTGGGGACTTTTCCTACATACAGTACACGTTACTCAAGGTATATAGGTTTTCGGAACGAAGCCTTAACCAGCAGCTGATTGCGAATTGATTACATGGTGTACATTTGCTCACACCAGGTGTTGTACTGTTTTAATGATACCTTAAAAGTCCTGCAAATTACAGACAACGTTAAATTTTAAGATATTCTGTATAACTTCAGTGTTATACACTCTGAAAAATTGAGGTTCCTTAAAGGTTCTTGGCTTGGATATACGGTTCTAAAATAAAAACCTTTTGGTAAACTTAACTCTCCTCATCAGGGTTTAACGCTTCTCACGAAGTGTGATGACCATTTTCCTGTTGAATAACAACAAACACAAACTGAATCTGGCGTCTATCTGATTTCACCAACATATCACCAAGGGGGCGGAGCCACAATCTGTATAAATGTGCATCAGTTTCTCCTTTGCAGCAGCTTCTTCAGAGAAAGTTCAGAGCTTCATCATATTCACTCAGAAACTCCTTACAATCCCTCTCCACTGACCGCCATGGTAAGTATATATATATATATATGTGTGTGTGTGTGTGTGTGTGTGGAGAGAGAGAGAGAGAGTTAAGGTCTTCTTTTCCTCTTCAATTCATTTTGTAAAATACTGAATAAGAAGTTGAAACCTTGGAAAATGAAAGTGCAACAGACTGAAACACAGAGCCTTTTTCTGATTTGGTCCCATCCCACCCAGTAACACTATGTATAACAGTTGATGTTATGAAAATGTGGACACTGTCCAGCCATATTCAGTAATGCATGATGTCTGGTGTGTGTTTTGGTCAGGTGCGTTCTGGAGTGCTGGTGCGACTCTTCCTGCTCTCTCTGCTCTCTCCTGCTGTCTGGACGATGGTTGAAAATCTCCATCAGGTGGTCAGTTTTCTCGAGAAAACGTAAGATGCAAAAATGAATTGGCTGTAAAGTGTTAAACGTGATTACGTATGATTATGGCTGACCTGTTATAATCTTATTAAACCTTTAGACTTACTAATACTTTAGACTAGTAAAACTTGCAAAGGTCCAGCACCGTCAAAGGTCCGACCTACAAAGTGTATCATAAATGCTTAACCACTAAAATCATGAACTGTGAGTTTCTTGTCTTTCTAGTCTGATGTGTCGCTCTGTAGTCTCGTTTCTGATGATCAGTATTCAGTAAAGTCATTTATGATTGGATGAGCTGTAACGCAGGACTGCTGTATCAGCCACGCTGCTTCATCTTCATATCTGTCACTGAAATATGACCATTTTTGTAGACATTAATCAGCTTAGCTACAGAGTTGTTCCTGCCAGTCAGGAGGTTCATTACCTTCTTGAACTGTTTGGTCTCGGAAACTGTGACAATTTCATCAAAATAAATTATAAATTTCAATAGTAATCCAGAGTGTTTTGGAGTGAAATGGTTCAGATGTCTTTACAGTGGTGGTGATAGGAACCAGGGGTCGCCATGACTACAACAAAAATATAGACATTTTATTTACTATCCAAAATCACCAGTGAACCTACACGAGTATTCTGAGTTTATATGGAATGTTGATGATGGAAAATAGTGGAAAATCTGAAATAATAAGTTTTCTTTGGGGACTATTTTGCCTCACAGTGCCCCGCATGTATCCCTCCACCATGAATGGAGTTTAAGTTCTCAAAACTATCATAAAACGTCTGGTTCCTATCACCACCACTGTGAACAATTTTGACTTGGTAAGTTTCTCTAGAACAGAGCTTTTCACACCAAACCACTTCGAAAGACTTTTATTAAAAGGTAATGAATTATTAATCAATTATGCAGAAATTTTGAAAAATTTTGGAAAGATAATCAGACTTTTGTCCCACAAAATAAAACACCATGTACTGATTTTGTTTATAACTCTTATGTTGCTCTTTAAAAAGATCTTTAAAATAATTTAATGTTCTTAGTTATGGAGACGGTGAACATCAGTTCGCTCTGGCCATCAACGTCCCAAGACAGAAGTGTTCTAAAGGTGTTGTCCCGGATCAGAACTTCCTCCTGGATAATGATATAAGGAAAGTGAAAGCTGCCATGAATGATCCTAAAAGTAGAGTCTACAAAGGTCAACAGCTGATTGGTGCAAAACCAAAACGGATCCCTAGACAAAGTAACAACTACCACTCTGAGTACCTCCTGCTGATTAAATCTAACCCACCAGCAACATCTCCTGACGATCCACTCATGCAGAAGCTCCTGAACAGAGACCCAGACGGCTGTGTGGTTTTCTACACCTTCAACTCTCCCTGTGTGAACACCTGCTCAACACCCAATAAGCCTTACAGCATCATCCCTGCACTCGACATGTTTAAGGACCACAGAGGCCCTAAAGCGTTCGTTTTTACACAGGTTTGGAGAAATGATGTGAACAGTGCTCGGTGGAAAGCGAACATAAGATCGGTGTCTAATAGAGTGCCGCTGTACCGCTGTGACAACACTGGGTGTTACCGCTGTGTAAGAGTCAAGCGGCCAATCCACCCCAAGTGCATGAGTAACTAGCACAATGGCTCAAAAGCTGTCACTGCACTGTGGTCTCCATTCACTCTCAGCACATGCTGTCCTTAAATGGAAGCTTAGCTTCAGATTCACTGGTCACTATTTTGAATTCACTGTTTATCAAATTTACATAAATGCACCAACCCAGCCTATAGTGATTTAGCCCCACCCACTCACACTGAGACTGTAAGGCGTGTTTCAGCCTGGATTAGTTTCTGAACAAGGGCAGCCAATCAGAGAAGGGCTTACTTACATATATCAGATTAAAGGCACAAAGTGTTCAGTCCTAAGAGATAAAATGGTCATGTAGAACTGAATTTCCACTGATTTCACTCAAACAACAGAGAAAACAGTCAAATCCAATAAAAAAGTAGGATATGGGCTCTATAAGGCTAAATAAGATTACCACAAAATATGATATTCTATAAGCTTCATATATTTTTTCTTCTTGTGCTTAAAAATATCCACTACTGGATTTACCTGTATTATGCTTTTATATTTACCAATAAATACTGCTGTGTTAAATTTGTCTTTTTGGCTTATTTGTATTTATTTTATCCAGTTTGGGCTTTTTAAAACTCTCCTCTTATTGTAGAACGTCTATATGGGTTCTAGGTAAGCTGTTGTGTTTGAAATGACTGGAATGAACACTGTGTGTTCACATGAACCCAACATACATGTTTAACTCAGAACAACTGATCATAGTTGCTGCTCTACTGACCTCTGCTGTGTAATTGGAGTAAATGTTCACTTATCACACTTCACACCTCGCACCACTAGAGGGCAGTATTAGTCTGGTTTAGGATTCCTGATCGTCCAGAAAACACATCAAAAAGCCAACGTCCACTGAGAGGAGAGCTGTGGGCCTACAGGGGTCACTCTGTGTTGAAAAACATGAAACATCACATGATGAAGTGAGTAGCTCAGTGCTCCCTGGCCACTTCATGACAATGTCTGTGAAAACACTCTGACAGTTATAGACTCCCTGGATTCAGAGCAGGGTGTGCCAGCTCATTGTTGGATGGCCTCAGAATTGGGTTCAGGGTGCCATCGATCACACCAATGACCCAGGGAACATTGGCCATGGTGTGGAAGCCTTGGTTGACTCTGTTGAGTCCTGAGTTACAGCTGTTACAGCTCTACTGATGCACGCTTTGCTGAGACCAAGACATGTGTTTATGTTTGTGTTATTTATTGATAATTGGTAAATTACAGGTCCCAATATAATGCAGTGTCATAAGATATCAATAAGCCAAGAGGTGTTGGGTGAGGGGTTGAAGTCTGGGAGGTATCAATATCAATGCCCCCTGGGATCCCTGGCCAAAACTCTCTCCTCCCCTGGAGTAAGAGGGGGTAGACCGCCGCTCCCACCACCAGTCCTCTGTTGCTCCCTCCTTACAGCTGTTTATGTTTATGTCTGTCTGTCCTGTGACGGACTGGCGACTGGTCCGGGGTGTATCCAAGCCTTCTACCCATGACTGCTGGGATAGGCTCCAGCTCTCCCCGTGACCCAGAAGGATAAAAGGCTTAGAAAGTGTGTTTGTATATCTATCTATTATATTTTACCTTATTTAATTCATTTGTTTTATTGAATTTTAATTGTTAATTCCATTATTATTGGTGCTGGAGGTGGTACATGATTACAATATGAATAGTCTAAATAATAAGTTAATAATAATGTTGGTCACAACCGTCATGTCTTGGAATAATATTATGAAGTTTGTGAGTGTTTGTGAGTTTCTGCTGTGAAAGTGAGGCTGAACATCTGGAAACACTGTAGTTTGGACGATGATGGTGCATCACATCATGTTAGTTCAGTGCTAACCTCCGTCATTGACTTTGTTTACATCTAAACCATGCAACTGAGCAGATTAAAGAAAAAACAATGCAGTTCTCCTGTAATATATTTGCGGTTGTGTCTCATGATGCCAGGTGGAAATCTTAGAAAAATGCACATCATTCTGTTTTATTTGACTCGATTGGCTGATTTAACCCATGAGATAATGACGTTCTTTCAGTACTGAGTAGATCAACTTGAACAGTTTTAAAGTCAGTTCAGAGGTTTTGGAGTGACATGAGTAGACCTGCTGAAATGAGAGCCAAACCACCTCCTAAAAGAAAGCTAATCCAAAATCAATAATCAGACTCAGGCTGGTTAAATGCTGGAATGTTTATTGATAAAAGCAGAAGCATAACGATGCAGTCAGAGATGTTTTAAGAAAGAAAGCTAAAGGATAAACCAGAGAGGATGTGAGGACACTACACTCTCAGGGTTTGTGCTCATCTTTAATTTTATCCTGGAGCATTTAAAAGAAGCAGCATTACACTGACTGCAGTTTAGCCATTCTGCTGATTGTTCTGGCACTGAGTATTAACCACATTATTATTCACACAGCGAGTACAGCCAGCGTTATCACAGCGGTACAGCGGCACTCTGAAATTCACTATCCTTATGTTATTTTCCCACTGAGTAGCATTTGGACCAGATAAATCATCTCTCCAAACCTGTCTGAAAACAAAAGCTTTAGGGCCTCTGTTGTTCCTGAACCACCTGTTGAGTGCAGGGATGATGCTGTACCGCTTCCCAGGTGTTGAGCAGGTGTTCGAACAGGGAGAGTTGTAGGTGTAGAAAATCAAACAGTTGTACTTTTCGTCCCTTATCAGTTCCTTAATGAGTGGATCTGTAGGAGATGGCTTAATCAGCAGAAGGTACTCAGCGTGGTAGTTACTGCCTGGCTTATCAGGGATTGGTTTTGGTTTGGCACCGATCAGCCGTTCACCTCTATAGACTCTATCGTCACCATTCATGGCATTCCTCACGTTCTCGCTAGGATCATTTGGAAGTAAATCTGATTTAATCTGATCATCTGTCACACCAGCATAACACATTTCAGGTGGAACGCTGATGGCCACAGCAAACTGATCTGTACCAGATCCATAACTAGAAACAGAGAAACGATTAAATAAATCAGTGAAACGTAAAAGGGACACAATTACTACAACATCAAAACAAAAACTGTGACTGTGACTCTCATCTGTCCCAAAAACTCTATATCTCAGTAGAATGATGTGCTTTATTATTAATGTAAAGCTTCATCATACTGCATATGACTTAAAATATGAACAGTGGTGCTAGAACATGTGTGAAACCTTTACAGTTCTCAGAATTTCTACACAAATTATGAATCAATAAAACACAGTCAATAAACAGAGATGCAACATTAAACATCTTTGTGGGCGAAAGTATGTGAGCCTATGCTTTCTATGTGAAAATAAGATAACACACACATCCTCTACATATTTAAACAGATTTAAATATTTACACATTTTAATACATGATTTGTATTTGTTGAATTTAGAAGAAACATGAAAATTAAAATACTAGAACAATGTATGATACGGGCTCTTTAATATGACATTCACTTCAATGTAATTGCTAAGCAGTGATTGGAGGGAGGATTGTATTGACACTATACAGAGACAGCACCCCACAACAGAGAAAACCAATCAGATTCCTCTCTTAAACAGTGCAGCTCTATAAACATTCTGCCCTTATTTGATTGGGTAGGTCTGTGATCAGTCTGGGTGGGACCAGACTCACCTACGCCTCCCTGTGACTTCACCCCTCCTACAGTTACCTGGAACCAGGTTTACATAGCTAAGAGCTTTGATCCCAAACCTTTGATCCACAGGTAGCAGATACTGAAGTTTTGGCTCACTTGGTCTGAATGTAGCTGATGATCTTAGACAGAGTGTTCTGGTCCACATCTATAGCTTCAGTTCCTCTCAGAGAGAGAGAGAGAAGACAGAGCAGGAACACACTTAGAGTTCCACTGAGAACCTGTACACACACACACGCACACACACGCACACACACGCACACACACACACATACACACCACACACACATACACACACACACACACCACATACACACACACACACAACACACCACATACAAACCACACACATACACACACACACACACAAACACCACACCACACACACACCACATACACACACACACACACACACACACCACACACACACACACACACAGCATATACACAAACACACACACGCACACCCCCACACACACACACACACCACACACACCTCTTTAAATATACTTAATAAATTCATGACAAAGTACTGGTTATAAGTAAATATATTAATGATAGATGCTAAATCAGAAATACATGATCATTTCTAACCCTGTAATGCACAATAAACCATAATAAATCAGTAATACATCTCAAATCATTAATAAACGCTAATCGGAACACTATATCCATCCTAAGTGCTGAATTGGTAATGAGCACTAAATCACAACAATATCAGTAATAAACACTAAACCTGTAATAAGCGGTTAATCTATCATTAATTTTAAATTAGTAATAAATAAGTAATAAACACTAAATCTGAACAGAAATCATTGACTGTATTGAACAGTAAACCAGTTACAAATGGTAAATCTGAAACAAAGCAGTAATAATCATTCTGTTATTAATAAGAGCTCAATCAATGCTAAATGCTAAATGTGTAAAATGTGTAAATGCTGACTTAGCATTTACTCCTGATAGAGAGTGCTACATCAATAATAAATCAGTAGTTAATGCTTAATTGGAAATAATATCTAAATTAGTAATAAATGCTACATTAATAATACATTATCAATCATTAATAAATAATAAACTGATAATAAATCATAAGGAAATAATGAACCAATATTAAATCATAAGTCAATAATGAATCAGCAACAAATCCCAAATGAACAATAAATGCAAAGTCAGTAATAAACATTAAATCAGTATTAAAAATTAAATCCTTAATAAATTCTAAATCTATAATATAAAGCCAAATGAGTAATAATCACAACATCGGTAATAAACATAAATCTGTAATGAATCTGTAATTAATCTGTAATAAATCCTAAATCAGTAAGAACTGCTACATCTGTAATAAATCTGTAATAAATGCTTAATCAGTACTAAACACATCAGTTAAAGATCTTGTGAAGGTGAAAAGCTGATAAATGGGAGGCTGTATCTCACCATGGCTGTCAGTGCAGGAGGAGTCTGAGGAGCTTCTGTAGATGATGAAGAGCTGAACTTTCTCAGAAGAAAGTACTGCAGAGGAGAAACTGATGGACATTTATACGTCTTATGGCTCCGCCTACTTTACAAAATGTATTGATCACTGTTTGCTGATTGGACGAATGCAACTGTCGTTTTCAAATAATGTAAAAAAGTAAAAATGATGAAACTCAGTTTTTCAGTGTGAAATGTGAATAAAAACAGAAAACAGTGTTCAGTAAAGTCTGTTTGATCTGTATTGAATTGAAAAGACAAATATGATATTTCAGGTTTCAGCTCATGAACTTTATTGTTTATTGTAAATATTTGCTTATTCTGAATTTCATACCTGCATCACATTCCTAAACAGCTGCACAGGAGCTTGTTTACCGCTGTGTACATCACCTTTACTTTAATAGCGCTTAATACTCATCTGTGGACTGAAGACAGAAACTGATCCAGCTTTAAAGAGGAACTTTTCTCCCTCCTTCAGTTGTACAAGCCTTCACCTGCGCAACCATACGAGGCCCTTGTTTTCGTATGTTGCACTTCATGAAGCAACACATGATTTCAAAAGGATCCACATGCAGAACGTTTCTGCTGTTGTTGTGTTGATATCAGCAGGACGGCCCTGAAAGCGATGGTGTCTAAAAGGCCTCGTGTTGCTCCAGAATGTGGTCAGTTAACAAAGTTTTCACAGATGAGGAAGTTACCCTTTAAACCCCCCCCCCAAAACCACACTATAAAACCTGATGAGTGACGTCTCAACTGATTTGAGGAAACTGAGTGCCTCCAATGTTTTAGACTCAAGAACTGTTCCAGCTCTAAATAAGTAACTGTAAATGAAATTACACTGTCATTGTGATAAATTCATATTGTATTGCATTACAAAGATATGATCATAGACATTTGTAACAATGTCTTGTCCACCTTAATGTCACTACAGACCACCTCACCAAACACTGACAGTACTGTCCGGAGTACAGATGTAGTCTCTGTAGCATTTAGCCTCAGCAGAACCACAGTCAGCAGAGAGGAACTCACTAACAACGGCATTGTAGGGCCACTGTCAGTAAAAATAAAAATAGTAGACTTCGAGAATAAAGTCGTAATATTTCGAGAATAAAGTCGTGGGATTACAACATTAAAGTGACAGTAATACCAGGAAAGGTCACAATATTGTGGCTAAACGCTTTGCAAAGTGAAGGCAGCGCCTCCTCGTGTTAAATGAGGGGCGTTGAGTTGGTGGAGTTCTACTTTCATATTGATTCACCCATAAAGAAACACTCAGTCTCCCTGTCTCTCCTGCACATCAGCACCAGCCTGTTATTAGTATAAGAACCGACTAAAACGGCTGAGCAGGAAACTGTGTTTATCTAGAATAAAGAGCCAGACGGACTCGGAGGAAACTGTTTGTCTGATTTGTTGAAGGAGAATCTCAGGCAGGGTCGCCTACACGGCTATCGGGGCTGCATCTCCACACCGTTCAAAGAGGGCATGAAGTTTCACAGACAGTGAGAATGATGATCAGAATGATCCACAGAGAGACAGGAGTGAGTGGAGCTCCGGCGCCAGTACAGCAACCGAGACCCCAACGCGTTATAGCAGCCCCCCTACAGCTAGCCCCCTTTGTCCTCGAAATAGTATGACTTTTTTCTCAAAATAGTACAATTTTATTCTCAAAGTCTACTATTTTTATTTTTATTATCAGCTGCACTAAAATGCCATCGTACAAACTCAGCTCTCTCAACACTAATATTTGATCAGCATGAGTCACAAAAGTTCATAAATCTAGTTGACACAAGGGAAGGTAGGCTGGGGACACGCCCATTATGCAAATATATGTTACTGTGAACCAATAGGAATGATGTGAGTTTTACTCAAGAAGGCTGCATTTAATTTTGCCAAATTTTTTAATTCTGATTTTTATGTCAGTTATTTTATAGATTTTATACTTCCAGTGGGCAGTTGTCATGGAGAAGGACATGTATTTTTAATCTAATATATTACAACAGTAAGAAACTGTAATGCAGAATTCAAGATAGACACTGTAAAAATTATGGTAAACCCTGCCAGTGTTTTACTGTATTTATTGAAACTCATGGTATTTTAATGCTTTTAAATTTAACAGAAAAAATCTGTAATTCACAATACAGTAAAGACTCAGTAAAAACATTGGTAAATAGCTGGAAACCCTGCTGCCAGTATTTTATTGTATTTGTTGAAATGTATGGTATTTAAATACTTTTTAATACAACAGTAAAAAACTGTAATTCCAAATACAGTATTACTGTAAAAAATATAGTAAGCAGCTAGAAGCCCTGATCCTAGTATTTTACTGTAATTTTACAGGATTTTTATTACAGTGGAATGAAAACTGTCAAATTGTCACTGTTTTTTAGACAAAATCTGCTCTTCATAACAATCAAGATTGTACAAAAATATCAAAAATATTAGCAATTAGCCCATTTCTGCCATCATTTCCAGGTATTTTTGTTTAATGCTTAACAGTAACAGTGTCCTAAAGAGAGAAGACATCCTGAAATTTACACCTGAATGAGGAATGTGCCCACAATAGTAACAACAGTTCAACTGTCCAATCATTATTTGGGCAAATTTATTGTTTATACCAAAGAAGACACTTGAAGTGTGTTGTAAAATATACCCTGGATGTGACTGGATGTTTAGAGGGCAAGATCTGCCAAGGGACTTAGCCGCCCTTAAGCCTGTTGGTCCCTATTTTTCTCTTCATCAGATTAACATCTCATACTGCCCGGGTACCCATAACACTACAGCTGATCCTCTGTCTCGTATGTTCAGTGAACAGGAATAAGCCCCAGAACTACTTTCCCTGAGCATGTTCTGTTAGATTAGATTGGAGATCTACCGAGAGTTATGGAACTAACTAAGCCCTGTTCACTGTCCTCCTTACAAGAGATATGTGCTTGTAGCTTTCAGAGAATGCCTAATTATGCCTATTCCTCTCTGATTTCAGGTCATCCAGGTGAGATATGCACCTAGCAGCTGTTGGCTACTCATTATTGGTAGGAGAATATGCTGGCTGATGTTTATAGATTCATTGCACCACTTAACACCTGTTCCTAGAGCAAAACCTCCAGAGCTTTACCTGCAGGCAAACTCTCACCTCTAATAGTTCCATCATGTGCCAGGTCTCATCAAGCCATGGACTTTATAACTCATCTTGTAGACAGATTCTCTTAGGGAGTCAAATTCATCCTTTTTTCTAATTCACCCACAGCCTACCAAACTGCAGATGTCCTGTTTAACCATGTTATTAGACTTTTAGCATCAGATCACAGTCTTCAATTCCTTGCTCAGGTCTGGATTGACTTTTTTGAACACATAGGAGTCTCTGTTAGTTAAACATCTGAGTATCTCTCTCAGTCCAATGGTCAATGCGAGAGGGTTAGTCGAGAACTAGGAATGATTTTTTTACCATGATAATCAGTCTGATTGGGCACATTTCCTTCCATGGGCAGAAATGTGCCAAAGTTCTTTAGTTAGTTCTGCTACATGTTTGACTCAGTTCCAGTGTATTCTGAGCTACCAACCTCCTCTCAAACCCTGGACTGCTATATCACCTGCCTACCATCAATGATTTTGATAAAATGGAGTGAGGAGGATGGAGAGGTACTCATCACACATAGAGAGACCCCTGTCTATTAACCTGGAGACCAAGTTTGGATGTCAACCAAGAACTTAAGGTTTGCTGAAGGGAGTGGAAAACTTGCCTAAATACTTCAGCCCTCTGTTCCAGATCCATTGGATGAGGCCACACCCAATGAGATGCCACCCCAAACATTTGTCATCATGGGGACTCCAGTCTGCAAGTACTTGGTTGACTGGGAAGGCTATGGCCCTGAAAAGAGCCCTTGATGTCTTGGATCTGGCTTGTTGGTGCATTTCCATCTGTGCCATCCAGACAGGCGTGCTCCACGTCCAAGAGTTTGTCCCAGACGTCAACCCAGTGGTTGTCCTGAAGATCAACCCAGTGGTCATTCTCGGGGTCGTCAGAGGAAAGATTGATCAGTCCAGTGCTGTGGAAGCTTCAGTGGTTTGTCTCAAGGAGTCACTGACAGTCTGGGTGGTGATCACCGTGGTCGTCCTCATCCCTTGACCTGCCCACACTCCTTGGCGGCAAGTACTGTCATGCTTCCCATCGTTGTCCACCTTGTAACAATCTTTGCTCTACTTCACTCAGGTGGATAAGCGGCTTAGAGCATGTGTGTGTCTATGTGTCTGTATATATACCTCTTTGTTTCACTCACTCTTTGCTAAGTATCACCCCTGTCTGTAGTGCATACTTTTTTTTCTGTTGCTTGTGTTGGGATTTGCTTTGTTATTCCGACTTTGTCTTTGGCTTATCCCTTTGGTTGCTGTTTTTTTTCTTTTTGACTCTCTGTTTGGCTTTTTGACTTGGACCTGTTTTTGACTACTGTTTTACTCAGTCCCATGTATTGTGTATTTGCTCTCCTGGTTTTGACCTAGGCCTGGTCTTGTGTTATGTTTTTGCCAAACCCTCCTGTGATAAAAGCCATCTCAATTCTTTATCCGTGACTAGCTTGTGGAGTGTTACAGAGTGCAACCATACAGGGTCTTTGTGTTGTATTTTGAAATTCATGAAAGCGCCACTCAATTTCAAAAGGAGACAGGTAAACCACCCTCTAGCACCCACACTCTGATTATGCAGCCGTGCTGTTGTAACACTTGCAGAATATTTTTGCCATTGTCATGTTGAAATAAGCTTGTAATGGGGGTATTACTGGTTAAGTTGCACCATTAACTCTGAACACATTTGGAGCAACATACGCTGCTTTTGGATGTCAAATTTCTCAGGGACGTCCTGCTTGTTGTCTCATGACAATGGCAAAACATGCTGCAACAGCATGGCTGCAGAATCAGAAAGTGTGGCTGCTAGAATGGTCTGCCTGTCTCCTTTCAAAATTGTGTGGGACTTTTATGAATTGCAAAACACAACAACAAAAGCCCTGCATGGTGGCACTCTGTATCACTGAACAAACTAGTCAG